AGCGCAGCAGGACATCAGACAGTGCGGGCAGGAGGTTTGCTCCGATGTGCAGGCTGCCGTTGAGGGACTCCCCGGATGCGGTCCGCTGAGAGCCGTTGAAGACGACCCTCAGTTTCGTCGTCGCGCTGGCCTCCTTGAGTACCCCGTGGTGAGGAAGATAGCATCTCCCCGGGGATTGCGTGGATGGAGCTCTCACCGCCTCCATATGCTGCAGTTCGGCGAATTCCCGCATGAACTCTCTGTAGAGAGATCCAAAGCGGGAGTCGTTCCGGCCTTTGCGTTCCATGGCCGTTAACAGCCGTTCGGCGGGTAACCTCGTGCCGGCAAGTGAGCGCGGTTTCGTCGTGAAAGGCAGCCGGACCATGTATCTGCCCGACGTTGTGCGCGAGTGAGACTCAGCGAAGAACGCTTCGCTCATCTGTTCCTCCGTCGTGAGTGGCACCTTGCTGACTGGCTCCTGCTCCTGGAGCCAAAAACGCTGCACCAGATCGCTCAGCTCACGGTCGACGGAGCACTGGTTCACCAGGCGGTGCTTGACGGCGGTTGGCTGGTCGCTGCCTCCGGACAGGATCCAGCCTAGCTTGGTCTTCTGGGCGAGTGGCGAGTGAGGGTCTCCCTTGCGGAGCCCACTCTCGAAGATGGTCGCACACACCTCGGCACCGAGTAGAATCTCGACCGGATCTCTGGAGGCGAACTGCGGATCGGCTAGCGGGAGCTCGCGGATGTGAGGCCAGTCAACCTCGTGGCTGACGGCGGGTCCCTGATACAGGGTGAGTCGCGGCAGGACGTACGCTTCGACGACCAAATTGACTCCGGTAGTCTGGGCGGTGAGCCGAAGAGACACCTTGCCTCGCGCCGTCCCGGACTTGGATTCTCCGATCCCGAGGATCGACAACGAGGTACGCGAGCGCGGGAGGCGGAGTCTTTGCGCGAGTGCCTCAGAGACGATCGACACTTCCGATCCCTGATCGATTAATACTCGCACCGCGTGCGGAAGACCGTTGCGGTCGGCCGCGAGCACACGTGCCGTCGCCAGGAGGACCGACCCGCCAGATTCGCCCCCACGCGCGGAAGTCAGGGAACTCGCTTCAACGGGCTTGCTGGACACGCTTGCGTCGTGTAAGAGTGTGTGGTGTCGCGCTCCGCAGGAGAAGCAGTTGCGCGAGGACTGACACTTGGCAACCGCGTGACGCCCGAGGCAGTTCCAGCAGAGTCGCTCGGACGTGACGAACTCCTTGCGCTCAGTGGCGGACTTCCCAGTGAGAAATAGGAGGTCGATTCGACGTCGATTCGACGTCGAATGACGACGTCGAAATTTAAGGTCGATTCGACGTCTCAGTGACTGAAATATCGATCTCTCGTCGACGTCGAAATTACATCGATTTCAACCCGCAGAATCCACGAAAATGTGCCTGGACGTCAATACGAAAAATTAGGCGATTTTTTATTTGACTTTGGTATAGCAACCAACGCGTGCCCCAGT